AGGGAGTGAGCCATGTAATTATCAGCAGTTGGGGAGGATTATGGGCAGCTGGCATAGCAAGTGCAATCATGTTGACCTCAATCATGTTTATAACACTCCAAAATAGGAATCAACCCAAAGGTCTTATTAATACTTCTTGATACAGAACATTTCTCTAATATATTAAGCAAAAGAGAAGTCCTAAAATGTAATCTATAATGACTTAACAGACACGATCGCCAATACTAACAGACGTTCATACAGTGGCATGACAGTTTTTATTTCTTCTTTATACTTTTCTGCACTATCTGAATTTTGTAAAATGGATTACTTTTGTAATGAAACATCACAATAAAGGTGATGTTTATCAATAATTCTTATGCTTTTTTGTGTTTGTTGTGTGCCTAATGTGTGTTAATTTCTCTGCTTGATTTTTTTTTACTTCTATTCAACCCCTATGAGAAAAGAGTTATCATCTTCCTATCATACGTTTGAGGAAGCTGCAGCTCAGAGAAGTCCCAGGTGGGAGGCGGCTGAGCTGGGAAGGGAGGGGGTCTGCGATGCCAGAGTCTTATCATTGCCACTACGCTCCATCAAATTGTCCCCATTACAGACGAAGGGAGATCTGTTCCTAGCAGAAGTGTGTCAGTTGACTTTCAGCGGCAGCGCAGATAACAATGATGTGCAGTCAGAGTTACGTATGTCTTTACAGGCCGAAACCCAACCGCTGCCCAGCTCCTAAAAAAAAACTACGAATTTAACAATGTCATCAGATGCCTATGGCACAAAACTGAAAATAAGAGGAAGAATCAGAGAGATTAGAGGCGGCGGGAGAAGATGCCTTCAGACACATGTTAAAAAGCCAAGTATGTGGGGGAGAATAGCAAGTATATTTTTGCAATGTAGGTGTGAAGGCCACGGATGGGAAATCATGGAGAGCTCCGCCAGTGTTAGGCCTGCTACCCAAACTCTATTTCTCAGCATCCTCACGGGTCAAATAAGGACCATGTAATCCTTGGGCTCCAAAGAGACGCTGAAGAGGAAGAGGCTTTGCAAGGGTCAATGTGCTGTACAAATGTCGTGATGTTGGCAACATCATGCTTGTGGTACCTTGTAGGAATTCGATCCGGGAGGAGAAAGCAAGGTACAGGGGCTAAGAGCATGGCCTCTGGTCAAGCAGATCTGCGCGACCTTGGACCGGTCATACAAGCTCTCCAAACCTCAGTGTTCCCATCTGTAAATGGGTGTGTTATAATCACAGAATCTGCCTCACGTGGACGTTCGTGTCCAGAACTGAGCACAGTGCCTGGCATGTAGAAAATGCTGAATAAACCACAGCTATCATCACCATCAGTGGGAGTGTCATCATTTCTGTTTGGCTGTTCATCCGCGATGATCAGATCAAGTTGGTTTAACCACTGGGCCCAGCTCCAGGGTTCTACCTCAAGGCCAGACAGGTTCTCACAGCTGGAGTCTGCTGCTTGCAAATAAACATTCACACCAGGAATTTCCATCCGCAGCGTCTGCCTCAGACCACAATTAATAACAAATGCGAAGCGAAGGAGCCGCTTGACTGGAATAGTTATTCCACCAACAAAGCCCTCGATTCTATTTACACTCTGAAAGGGCCTCTGCGAGGGGAGCTTTCTGACTTGGTTCCAAATAAAAGGGCTGGTTGGGTCTTGGGAAGGGAGAGAAGTGGAAGCGAGGTTGTGTGCAAATGGGGTTGGGTCAGGAGGCTCGGGGCTGGAGTGCCACCAGCTTCCTGCTGCCAGGGAAGGTGCGGGCGCTGCGATTCAGGACTGGTGCCCAGCTCTGCCTCTTCATTGGGGACTTCGGAAAGACACCACTCCTCAGATCCACTCTGATTGTTGGATCTTCATCTATAAAGTGGGATTATCATATGCTAGTTCTATTTTTAATTTTTTTTTCTTTTTTTTTGTGAGGAGGACTAGCCCTGAGCTAACATCTGATGCCAATTCTCCCCTTTTTTCTTGAGGAAGACTGGCCCTGGGCTAACATCTGTGCCCATCCTCCTCTACTTTATATGGGACGCTGCCACAGCATGGCTTGACAAGCGGCACGTCGGTGCGCCTCCGGGATGTGAACCTGTGAACCCCGGGCTGCCGCAGCGGAGCGCGCGCACTTAACCACCGCGCCACTGGGCCGGCCCCCTATTTTTAATTTTTTGAGGAGCCTCCATACTGTTTCCCATAGTGGCTGCACCATTTTGCATTCCCATCAGGATAATTGTTGAGGACATGATGCTAAGTGAAATAAGCCAGTCACAGAAAGGCAAATACTGCATGATTCCACTCGTATGAGGTATCTAAAACGGTCAAATTCATAGAATCAAAGAGCGGAATGGCGGTTGCCAGGAGCTAAGCGGTAGCGGGAGATGGGGAATTACTATCAACGGGCATAAAGTTTCAGGCAAGCAGATGAGGAAGCTCTAGAGATCTGCTGTATAACATTGTCCCTACAGCCAACAATACTGTGCACTTAAAAATGTGTTAAGAGGATAGATCTCATGTTAAGTGTTCTTACAAAAATACAATAACGTTTACAAAAAATAAAGAGGGATGAGCAATCCATCCCTGACCCCCTGGGCTGGCCTGTGTGGTGATTCAGGACTGTGGAGGGGACACGGTTTGACACCAGCAGCAGGGACGCTGCAGGAGAGCGGCATTCCTGCCATCGGGAGGAGAAACCCTGGCAGGTTCTAGGTTCTTTGTCAGACGTGGGTGAAGGGGCCTTTTTACCACCGGGAAATTTCAATGCAGAATTTTGGTGATCGGAACTTGGGAGATGCCCAGTGCCCAGAAAGAAGCTCCTGCTCCCAGTGGGTTTAGAAAAGCTGGCACAGTGTGCTGGGAAGAGCACAGAAGGCCACCAGTCTGGGTTCAAATCCCGCTTCTGCGGTGAACACGCTGTGGGGCGCTGGGTGAGTCATTTCCCTTCCTGGGTCCCACAGACCCTTACAGAACAATAACCTCTCAGGCACAACTGAGCACTTATTATGTCCTAAGCACCAGCCATACATACTTCATTAGTTAATTTTCCCAAGGCCTAAGGAGGCAGGTACCATAATTATAACTCCCATCTCACCATGGAGGATTCCGAGGCCCAGAGGTATGGAGTAACTGACGAAAAGTTACCCTCTCTATGGAGCACCAGAAATGGAGACAAACACTTGGGTCTGCCAGACTCCAAAACCCTTGTTTTATTCACCAGATGAGGGAGATGGAATTTCCACAGTCTGGAATTCTAACCTGATTATGGAGTTAGCACCACTGTGCAGAAAACTGTCCTGACTTGAGAAATGGTTGGTTTCCTTCCTGCCTTCCTTCCTGCCTTCCTCCCTCCCTCCCTCCTTTCCTCCCTCCCTCTTTCCTTCCTTCCTTTCTTTTTCGCTTTATTGAGCTTTAACTGATACATAAAATTGTAAGATATTTAAAGTGTATACTGTGGCGATTTGATAGCTGCACACATTATGAAAGGATACCCCCATCCATCCAGTTAATTACCACACCCATCACCTCACATATTTACCTTTTTTCTCTTTTTGGTCAGAACATTTAAGTTCTACTCACTTAGCGAATTTCAAGTATAAAATACAATGTTATCAACTCCAGTCACCCTGCTGTACATCACATCCTCAGACCTTATTCATCTTATAACTGAAGTCTGTACCCTTTCACCAACATCTCCCCACTTCCCCCTGCCCCCAGCCCCTGGCAACCACCATTCTACTGTTTCTACGAGTTTGACTTTTATTTTTAGATTCCATATATAAGTAATACCATGCAGTACTTGTCTTTCTCTGTCTGACTTCTCACTTAGCCTGATGCCCTCAAGGTCCATCCATGTTGTCACTAAATAGACTACATTTTGTTTATTCATTCATCCGTCGGTGGGTAGTTGGTTTGCTTCCATTTTTTGCCTCTTGTAAATAACGCCGCTATGAACGTGGACATTTAGATATCTCTTCGAGACACTGCTTTCAATTCCTTTGGGTATATACCCAGAAGTGGAATTGCTGGATCATATGGTAACTATGCTTATTTATTTTGAGGAACCCATCATTCACTTCTTAACGCAGTCATTCTGTGTAGGGGCTGAGCTTAGGTCTGCATCCTGAACCCACCACTTACTCACAAGTCACTCTGTGCCTCAGTTTCCTCATCTGTCAAAGACTGCTCACCTCCAAGGGCTGCTGTAAAGACTAAAAGCTATAACTCCAGCAAAATAAGGTCACAGAGCTCGAGAGAGGAGGAGCCAGCTGTTGAGCCCGTGTGGTGGGACTCTGAAGCCCTCGCCCACCACACCGAAACTTGTTCACTGTTCACACAGCTGGGGAGTGGTGGGCCAGGACCTGACCTTGAGGACTTCATGGCCGGTGTTCTTAGACATGATGGCAGAGTTCCCCAAGGGAAGATTTACGCGGGCCCCAGACAGGACATCCAATGGTACTTAGAGTGGAACAGTGATTCCCCTTCATGTCTCATCCAGTCCTTCTGATTAGAACACCAAGGAAGTCTCAGGTCGATGCAAACGTGTCTCCAACAGCACTCGCTCACTCAACTTCCTTTTCCAACACGGAGAGCTGTGCCTACAGGACGGGCATCTTGGGCAGGCAACAGGAGTCCAGGCTAGCATTGAATACCACTGTTTTGATGTCACCGATTCATTTGCACGGCTGCTGTCTCTTCATGGCAAGTGAGAGCAAAATTTCCACTGACAGCAGTGAGGCAAAATTACTTTTAAAATAAAATTGACTTAAAATGAAAGTGAGCCTATTGCAATGAAAACATTATGAGAATAATAGGGTAGGTGGAATGTGGCTACTGCAAAATCATGAAGATGAGAGAGATGTGAAGAAAGCCTGGGGAATATTAATTAGGCTCCACAAGCTTGCTACCCAACCAGGATGTGCTGAGTTTGCTGAACAAATGAAGGAAGGTGAAGGCCAGATACACAGTGAGGCCCAAGCAGCCCCATATGTCATGGAAGGACTCGAAGGTCCAGACGACATTTGCTTTCCTGGCTTCAGGGGCCCAGGAGGGTTTTGTTGGGAGTTTTCTGGGGTAGGCTCTTGTGGGAGGGTGGAGAGCATCTTCCTGCTAGAGAGAGAGCCAGGGGTCTGCTGAAAAGGGAAACACTGTTCTTTTGATTTTCACTCTAATATGTTGAGTACTTAACATTCATGAGGTTCTTTCACAGGCTTTTTACCTCTCACAGCAATGCTGCACATGGAAATCATCCCCATTTATGGATAACTGTCCCAGGCTCAGAGAGGGCAAGGAACTTACACAAGGTCACAGGGCCAGGAGGTGGAGAAGACATTAGGAAACAAACTGATCTGACTTCAAATGCCATGCTCCATGACCAGACTTTGCCTAACAAGAATTGGCGCATCCCTGACTCCACTCAGGCTCCCACTGTGAACCTCGCCTGAACCTAAAGCATCCCATTCCCGGAATGGCTTCTAAACTGTCTCCTCCAGATTGGGATCTCTCAACCTTGGCACATTGATATTTGGGGCCAGACAATTCTTTGTCGTGGGAGGCGAGGGCTGTCCTGTGCACTGTAGGATGTTGAGTCGCAGCCCTGGCCCCTACTCACCAGACGCCAGCAGCACCCTCCCCGTTGTGACAAAACTAAAAATGTCTCCGTTCATGGGCAAATGTCCCCCCGGGAGGAGGGGGAGAGTGACTCTCAGTGGAGAAGAACTGCTCTAGGACAGAAGTTCTCAAAATGTGGTCTTTGACCAGCAGCAGCAGCAGCATCTGGGATCTTGCTAGAAATGCAGAATCTTGGGCCCCCACACCTTCTGAATCAGAAACTCTAGGATAGGGACCAGCAGGCTGTGTTTTAACAAGCCCTCCAGGTGATTCTGATGGAAGCTGACATTTGAAACCTCTGGCCCAGGCCAGTGACGCTAACCTTGGTTGCACGTTAGAATCATCCGAGCATCTTTTAAAAAAACCAAACCCACGCCTTGGCCCAACTCCCAAGAAATTCTAATTTAATTACTTTGGTGGGGGGTGCCAGTATTGGTAATTTTTTAAACCTCCCCAAGGGACGCAATGTGCAGTCAGGGTGGAGAAGCACACTTTTCAACCTCCTTTAAAGAGCTGCATCTCTCAAGGTGCAGAGTTTTACCCAATACATCTCTGGGTGCCGCCTCAAATCCTCACGGCCTCCTGCTCCGCTAGAGACGGAAGGCTAGCTCACTTGTTATTTTTTTCCCACTCTGAGAAAATGTCTCCCTCCACCCCCGACCAAGCACTCAGGAAATTTTCCTGCCCACTGACTTTCTCCCCCCCATTCAAGTCTGGAGTTATTAAACCACAGCCCATGGCTGAACCGTCTTATTGATTTTATTGTCAAGAGCCCTGGGATATTCTAATGATGTACTGCTCAATAAATGGAAACTGGTGGGATAGATATTGATGGCCTATGGTACATTTCGCCGCAATTCACTGGGTCCCAGTCACTTTGCCTCTTACGCATCATCTGTGAAAACGCTGTGCTGTGGCCTGCCAGCTCTTGGCCGTCCTGCTGATGTTACCTTTCCCCGCGCATCAAGGATGAAAGGGCTGTTATGATAACAGCTACTACCGTGCGCCAGGCCCCGGGCTGAGAGTTTTTAAACAGACATTATTCCATTTACTTCTTACAATTGATCTTTCGGGAGGTATTCTGATTATTCCCATTTTACCGATGAGGAAGTTAAGACTCAGAGTGGTTACTTGACCTGGACAGCTAATACACTGTGGAATTGGGATTCACATCTCTATTTGTCAGCCACTAAAATGAGGGCTCTTAACCCATGCTATGTTATGAATGTCTATATCCCCCAAAATTCATATGTCGAAAACCTAATGCCCAAGGTGATGGTATTAGGAGGAGGGGCCTTTGGGAGGTGATTAGGTCATGAGGGCTGAGTCCTCAGGAATGGGATTAGTGCCCTGACCAAAGAGACCCTAGAGAGGTCCCTCACCTTTCCACCACGTGAGGACACAGGGGGAAGACAGCCATCTATGAATCAGGAAGCAGGTTCTCGCCAGACACCGGATCTGCTGGCACCTTGATCTTGGGCTTCCCAGCCTCCAGAATTGTGAGATATAAATTCTGTTGTTTATAAGCCACCCAGTCTGTGGTATTTTGTTATAGCAGCCCAAATGGACTAAGACAGCCCCATAGCTAAACCATGCAAGGAAACAACTGCTCCTATTGTATTTGAGGAACCTTTCACATAATTTCAATACACATTAATATTTCACATATTTTTCCCCCTTCTCAAGCAGTGTATGTCCACAGGGACTACTGGCATTTGGGGAGAGACAATTCTTTGCTGGGTGGGGCTGTCCTATGCATTACAGGACATTAACATCCCTAGTCCCCAAAAGAGCCCCTTCCCCTTTACATTTCCCAGCGCCCCCTAGGGGATCAATATAGCTGCGTGGGAACCACTCATCTCACTAAGAGGCAGGAGGTTCCCTGCCAAGATGGCTACTTCTTTTTTGGCAACACGGCTTGTCACTCTGGGAAGGCAGCATCGCAAATGGAAGGAAGTTTGGCTTTGAAATGAGAGCAATCTGAGTTCAAACGATAGCTCTTCACACATCGACTCTGTGAGGTGGGGCAAGTTATATCTCTAAGACTAGTTCATCATTGGTACAACAAGGGCAAATATTGACCCCCCCTCCTAGGAAGGATCCATGGAGTCATGTGCTCAGAAAAGTGCCTAGTCCAGAGCAGTGGTTCTGGACCGGGAGTGATTCTGTCCCTCCTGCCCTCATACACTCTTTCCAAATTCCTGATCCACAGAATCCATGGGCATAAAAAAAATTGTAGCATTCTATGCCAGTAAGTTTGGGGTGGCTTGTTACTCAGCGGTAGTAACTGGAACAGGCACCTATGACATGCCAGGCATGCAGCGTTCTGGGACTGGGTAACAGAGTAATGCACGTGCCACAAAGAGCTTTTGCTTATGAGGAGCAGACTCTCTTGCAGTGGAAGATGGACAATAAATATAAACATTTCCAAGACCATTTCCATGACATGAAGAAAACCATTACTATTACCTTAAATAACAATATGCGAGCCACTGTGTTTTATTTCTCTTCTCCCCATTCTAGCCTTATCTCCCACTGCACGAGCCCAGTTACCCTGTCCATGAGGCTGCAAAGCAGTTTAATGTCATCAAAGCCTGCTTCTGCTCCTAACTGTGCTGGGGTACCCTTTCCTTTTCCCAAGATACTACCTGCTATGAACTGAATTGTGTCCCCCACCCGAATTCATAGGTTGAAGTCCTAACCCTTCTGTGATTCTACTGGAGACAGGCCTTTAAGGAGGTGATTAAGGTTAAATGGGGTCATAAGGGTGGGCTCCTGGTCCCATGGGATTAGTGCCCTTCTAAGAAGAGACACCAGAGAGCTTGCTCTCTCCAGCACGTGAGGACGCAGCGAGAAGGCAGCTGTCTGCAAGCCAAGAAAAGAGCCCTCACCAGAACCCAACCAGCTGGCACCCCTGTCTCAGACTTCCAGGTTCCAAAATTGTGAACAATAAATTTCTGTTGTTGATGGCACCCACTCTGTAGTATTTTGTCACGGCAGCCCGAGCTGACTAATATACTACTTAAGGAGGTCAAGGGATGCATTCCCTGGGCTAAGATCTACAGGTTGAGTAAGGAGTTAACTAGGTAAAAGGGGAAGGAAGAATGTCCCAGGCAGAGGGAACAGCATATGCAAAGGCCCTGTGATGAAAGAGAACGAACTAAATAAGAGAACATGAAGGAGGGCCAGCGTGGCTGGAGCACGAAGGCCGAGATGAAGCACAGGGTGAGATGGGGACGGAAAGACAGCAGGGGCCCCGTGCAGGGTCTCGAGCACCACTTTAAGGATTGCAGTGGAAGAGTGTGACAAGCGATCACAACAGACTTGTTATTGATGGTTGGGGAAGTGGATTGGAGGCAAGACGCATTTTGAAATTGGCAGGCGGGATGGCGTGAGAGGCACGGCCTCACGGTGCAGAGCGGAGGATGGGCAGGAGGCAAGGAGCCCTGTGTCCCCCTGTAGTCTGATGTGGGGAGTCGAGAACGCCCGCTCCACCCACGCTCCCCGCCTTTTTGACCCCAAGACTGCTGTTCACAAGTTCTCCTAAGAGCCTTCCTGTCGCTTGACATTTTCATCTCTGTCCTTTCTCCCCTCCCGAGGGTACTCACAGACTCCATAAATACCGCCACGGAAAAACGCAGCGACTCATCTATTTTTATTACAAATGGAGCCGTTGGAGGAGAGAGCAACTCTTATTTACTTCTCAGGGTGAGGGTTTTGACAACAGGTTTATTTCCTCCAACTCTCCAAGGACTAGAAGGGTAACACTGTAAAGAAACAGTACATTAATTAACGCTGAACTGCTTGGAATTTTCCTAATAAAAATCCTCATAGTAATCACATTATGGGCCATTAAGGCTGCCTGCTGATCATAAACCATAAATATGTGCTGCAGGTGACTTCTTTTTAAAAAGGGACATTTCCCCAAATCGTTACCCATTTGTCACGTTAATGCTGTCACGTATAATAACGCAGACAGGAGTAATTAAATAGGCTCCCATTTGTGCAGGGTTTACTCCGTGCTGGTGGCTCGGCCAAGCCAGGTTCAGGCATCATCTCATTTAGCCTTCCCAGCACACTTAGGAGGTAAGTGCCACTATCACCCCCATTTTATAGAGGGGGAAACCGAGCCACACAGGGAGTGGGTGATTTGCTCAGGGCCAAACAGCTAGGAAGCAATGGAGCTGGGATTTGAATCCAGGCAATTTGATTCTAGAATATTCTACCATCCTGCCTCCTGAGAAATAAGCGCCAGGTGGATCTCTAAGCATGGTGGTCCTCTTGGCCAACCTCACTGCTAAGGGGCTCTCTAGTTTATTTCAACAGCAATGACAGCAATAGTTAATCCACACAACATCAGGTTTTGCTCCTAGAGGGCAGGAATGATGTTTTCTTTCCTTCTGTTTCCCCAGGGCCCAGCCAAATGCCCGGCACCGATGCCAGGAGCCCCTGGGACACACCGAATACATTCCTGTTGAAGGAAGAAATGGGTATGGAAACACACATGCAAGAGGGTTCACGGCAACGGGTAACAGGGAGTGTCTCAGGTGCGCCTGGGATCTTGACAGATCCATGTCCTGCCATGGTGCAATGTGGGTGCGGCCTCAGAGTGGGGCCACGATGCCCAGATGTGGAGATCACAGTGCTCTGGAGCTGCGGCTCCTAGGATCAGACCAAGAAGGAGCCTGTTCTCAGCCCTGTCGGGCTTCACTCCTTGGGTGCTCTGGGTGGATTCTTTGATTTCTCTATGTAAATGATATGTACGCACTGTAGAAAATTCAAGCATACAGAACAATATGAAGAAAGGAAAACAAAAGAAAAACTTGGATATTAGAGCATCCAGATATCACCACTCAACATTTTCCAATTTTTTTTTTTTTTTTGTGAGGAAGATCAGCCCTGAGCTAACATCCATGCCAATCCTCCTCTTTTTGCTGAGGAAGACCGGCCCTGAGCTAACATCCGTGCCCATCTTCCTCCACTTTATATGGAACGCCGCCACAGCATGGCCTGACAAGTGGTGCGTCAGTGCAGGCCGGGGATCTGAACCCGGGCCGCCAGCAGCAGACCCTGCGCACTTAACCGCTACGCCACAGGGCCAGCCCCCGACATTTTCCAAATATTTTTATACATGCACATTATATACAATCATTCACAGTCATGTGTCACTAAACAATGGGGACAGGTTCTGAGAAATGCATTGTTAGGCGATTCGTCATTGTGTGAACACCATAGAGTGCACTTACACACACCTAGATGGTACAGCCTACTACACACCTAGGCTATGTGGTACTAACGTTACGTGACCACCATTGTATACACGGTCCGTTGTTGACTGAAACGTCGCGATGCGGTGCATGACTACATTCTACTTTGTCATGTGCATTCTATTTTCAACAATATACCCTTGATATCTTTTCCATGTCAGCAAATACAGGTATTCTTTGTTTCCTTCTTCTCTTCCTTCCTTCACAAATACTCACTGAGCATCTACTATGAGCAGTTACCCCGCCACGTGCTGGGGATGAATGGAAGAACAAAACAGATACTGAACTTGTCTTCAAAGAGCTTATAGTCCAGCGGAGGCAGGGTGGGGAGAGCAGACAAACATATTTTACATAAGGTGTTGGATGCAATGACGGAAATGGACAGGCTGCTGGGAGGAAGATGGGGCCAGGGGATCCAATGCAGACCAGGTCTTCTGACTTTTCTGAAGAAACCACAGTGAAACCAAGACCTTGAACATGAGGGAGAAGGAGCCAGGCAAAGAGGGTGTCATTTCAGGCGAAAGGAAGGCCATGTGTCAATGTCTCCAGGAGGTAAAAACTGTACTTGGAAAAACAAAAAAAAGAGGGGGCACCTGTGTCTGGTTTTTGACTTTCCTTTTCTGTATTTTTGAAATTTCTGTAGTGTAATGACAAACATATTGCATCCATAATTAAGAGTCATTCAGTTCTTCCTTGAATGGCTCCAAAGATGGGAACCTCAGTGCCGTACACAGCAGCCAGTTGTACCTGTGGACAGCACTGACTGTAAGCTATTTTTTTTTCCAAAATATGCATGCCAGAAGGTTTCATCCAGAGGTCCTAATTCTGCCTTCAGAGATAGCCCACTGCCTCTGCTGTGGACCAACCTCCCCAATATGTGAAAATTGTTATTATGCAATTACTCCGCCCCCACACCGCCCTCCAAGGCCAGGATAAGTGTGACCTCTTCTTGCTCATTTCACTTTGTTCCTACATTTAGGTGCCCGTTCCCTTTGTCATGGTCCCTCTGGAGAGCGACTAGAGGTCATCAGCCTATGGTTGACATCTCTCTTGATTAAGACCCTGCACTAGCACAGCCTGCAAAAAAAAAATTTTTTAAGCCTCCCAGGCATGTGACGGCACAAATTCATTCATTCATTCAATAAATAATTACAAATGCCTGTGAGAGTGCTACACCCTGGGGGAAACAGCACTTCATAGGACAGATATGTCACGTATTTGAGAAATAATTATCAACTATCTGCTATTGGGTGACACACTGGGGGGTCTGGCCCTGGACCAGATGGACACAGTCCCTTTCCCAGTGAATGAATGCAGAATGAATGAATGCTATGTCTCGTCTTTCACCATTAGAGCTTCTCAGTGGGGATAACCATCACCTGCTGTGGTGTTTGTATTAATCAAGTCCCCTAATGTGTTGGTTTGAGGGTGTCTGTCCCAGTTCACCTTCCCCCATTCCTTGGTTAGCCTGGAAGACCAGCGAGACCCTGATTTCTCAACCACGGCTTGGAAGCTTCATTTAAGCCACGCAGCTCCTGAGAATACCCTTTCTTAAATAAGAACTCCTACAAATGAACTGGCAGATGATGCTCATCTTAAACACGAACCAGACATTAGACTCGAGAGCTCCAGGAAAAGGGGAATCATGGCTTTTGAGACAGGATGGGGTTAAGATACACCTTGAAGGAGACAGGATCCGCACTACTGCAGCTTCAGAAGACCATTGATAGTGACAACAATTTAAATTAAATTAAATTCAGTCGGCTCCAAAAGGAAACACGTGTAATGTTAATTTCATGGGTGTACCAATGTGTAAACCGAACAGATGACACTTAAATGAGAAAGGCAGAGAAATGACATTTGGTTAAATAATGCATCAGTGGGTAGAATTTGTTCAAACTGCCATTTAAAAAAAAAAATACGAACACAATTGAAAGTTGAGCAAGCTGTCATCCGGGCCAGGTCTCCTAAGCGTTCTCAATCCAATGCATTTGAGGGGAGCAGCTGCAGCATGGGTTGGGGGCAGTCTGGATGGACTTAGGGACTCGGGCCAATGGCCCAGTTGACTTCTGAGGCCCTCCTGTGGGCCTGGGCAGACACCATCATCTGCTAGTCTTTCCAACTAGGACTGAAATCTCACCCTGGGCAAGAAATGTGCCCGTGCTTGTTTATTTCCTTTTCTTTCTTAAAAGCAACGGACGACCCAAGAGTTAAGGCATGCGAAAACGTGAAAAGATGGGCTTTCCTCTGAATCCTGTCTCCCGGAACACTGCACGTAATCAGGCAATAAATGTGGTGTGTGTGAAGGATGCGACATTCCTGCCTTGTCTTCCGCCATTACAGCTTTATGGTGGGCATCACCATTACAATGCCGTTAGGACCCATCACCTCCAGTCCTCACTATTCCTCTGACATATTGGTCTGGGGCTCCTTGTCCCCGTCTACTTGCCCTCGCTCCGTTTTAACATTAACAGAAACTAGTCTTCTGGTCAATAAAGCTCCATATGAGAAGCTGATCGATTGGAAAAAACAGGACTCTGCTAAAGATGCTGATCCAAGAAACGTGCATATTGAGCCTGCCAGAAATATAATATTGATTAAAGCTAACGTTTTGTTGAGCACTTACCAGATGCCAGGCATAGTAACAAGTATGTTTTTGTCTGTTCTTTTGTTTTGCTGCATTTTTTTTCTTCATTTAATCCTCACAAAGCACTGTGAGGCAGGTACCATCATCACCCAAACTTTACAGAGGAGGAATAGATTGAGCCTGAGAGAGGTCAAGTCACATGATCAAGATCACACACCTAGTGGCAGAGCTGGGATTTGAACCAAGGCTGACCTGATTTTAGAGCTACTCTCCATTCTGCCTGAAACGTATGACGAGCCTGTTTCAGGAGGCAGATAAGGAAAGGAAGGGGACTGCTCTCACTCGGAAGCCTCAGAGCACTAGACCCTGAACCAGTCAGGACCATGCTAGGCTCTGCTGCAGTAACACGTACTCCCTCAATTCTCAGTGCCTTGACACGACCAAGGACTACTGCTCACTCCTGTCTGCCCTGGCTGCTCTCCTGCATGGCCGTCCTCCAGGAGGTGACAGCCAAGTTGTTCCCACTGCCACTCCTCCATCTCACTCAGGGCCCTCTTGCAGTGCAGAGAGGGCACACGGATCAGTGTGATGAATTCACACCCACTCTTCACCACCTTGGCCAGGAAGTGAACCATCACTTCTGCACATGCCCCTGTTAGGGACACCCAGTCACAGCACCCCACTTGAAGCATGGGAGTGGGTGACAGAGAGGAGAACCTGGGTCCCTGGGGAGCATTTACAGTGTATGACACAGAAACATAGTGACTAATGCTCTCACAATTTTGCCTTCCAGGGAACATACGGCAATGTCTGGAGACATTTTTAGTTATCACAACTGGGGGAGAGGGTGCTACTGGTATCTAGTGGGTAGAGGCCAGGGAGGCTGCCAAACATCCCCCCACGCACAGGATAGCCCCTTACAGCAAAGGATTTATCCGATTCAAAATATCAAGCGCCAAGGTTGAGAAACTCTGCTTAAAACCAGTGATTCTCAAAGAGATTCACTGGGGAGTTCATTAAAAATGCAGATTCCTGGGTTCCTACTCCCAAGATCTCTCCTAGCAGTTTTCACAGGGCCCCTTTGTCATTGTGATGACCCCTATTCATGGACCACACCCAGGGAAACCTCGCTGGGGCGACATAAGAACACCAAAGGTGAGCAAGCGGGAAGAGGCACCAGTGCCATCATACAAAGACACTCCCCAAACGCATCAGGGTCAGCGTGAGGCAGCCATGCCGGGAAAAGAAAAAAAGCTGACATTTGTTAAGTGCCTCTCTGCGTCTCTCTCCCGCAAGCCTTGAATTTCAGGGAACATATTCTAAGACTCACCTGTCAGCCAATGACAGCTAAATTACCCACCTCGCCTTCCCCCGTGCCCCGTATCCCTGTCAGATACACAGCCACATTAACAGAGGAATGCTTCCTGGAGATGTATTTCCAGCATCGGGGAAGGTGACCCTGTTGCCAGAAAAAAAGCCATGTGGTCACGGGTACTTTAGTTGGCTGGGACTCGGGCTTGGATAGAAAGAACCCGAAGGGGAGGGAATCAAGACCAGAGCAGAGTGGCAGAGGCTCTTCATCAAATCCATTTCTGTTTTCTCCTTGGCATCCACTGGAATCCACTCCCCAGCATCCTTTGCAGTTACATCTTGCCAAATGGCTGCGTGTTCGCCAATAAAATGTAAGTGTGAGCAACGAGCCCAGGTTCTAGGCTTGACCCATGGCTACCTCCTGCTCACCCTTCTCCACTGTCTGGGTGCAGAAGAGCATGGCGACCTCGGGTGCTAGTGCTGAAGCTAGTGGAGCCGTGAGATGGAAGGGGCCCGGATCCCTGACTCACTCCTTGGAGGGGAGCCAATCAGGAACATCCATTTTGGATGCCAAAGAATGGAGAAATAAGCCTCCTTCACGTTTAAGGCCCAATACATTACTGGGTCTGTTTGTTATAGCAGCTAATGTTGCCTTAACTAATATAGTGATTGCACAATTGGGCTCTGAAGGCAGAAAGGTCTAGGGCCAGCTGGCTGTGTGATCTGGCAAAGTCACAAGAACCTCTCTGAGCCTAATTTCCTCAGATGGAAAATGGAAATAATATACTCAGACTGATTAACCTATATATTTTAACGAAAGGGTGTGGCACACAGTACCCATCTAGTAACTGTTAGCTTCTGTGTCATAAATGTCAGTGTTAGCCACATCCTGTCAGCAACCAGACAGAGGCACGAGGGAAAGCAAGGCACTGAGACGAGCAAAGGTGTAATCGTTTAGTTATTAGCTTAAACTTTCTATTATTTCTGGAATGAACAAATGGAAGAATGAATAGACACCTTTAGCAGCATCGCCTTCTATAAGGATCATGTCTGTGAAGACTAACCTCCCTTCGAGGGCAAGACCCATCCGTGACTCAGCTTGTTTCCTGGTCCCATCTTAGCACTGTGCTCTGTGCAAGATGACTCAGCAAACGTGTGCTTGTTATCTGAGCCAGGTAAGCGACGACAATTTAGAAAAAACATACTTTATTTTAATTAATTAATTAATTTTTTATACCTGGACAATTTACTCAATATTACATCCCAAATTTCTAGCCCAGGGCATGGTACATGGTGTATACTGACTCAGTATTTACAGAATAAATTTATAAAATCTTTTTTGACATAAGCAGACTTCACTTATTATTTCACTTCACTCCAAAATCACGTGTCAGTTCCTGGAATAAGACTGACAAATGGGAGAATGTACATACTCCTTTCCTGAGGAGAGGAAAAAGATGTGGGGGAAATGGACAAGTGACAGGTGTCTTTCTATCAGCTCAAAAAACACACGTACTTTATTCTGTCATCAGGCCGCCCTCTCTCTCTGCGCTGGCTCTGTCAGTTACTTGCTCTGTGGTCTTGAGCAAATGGCTTAAGCTCTTAAAGTCTCCTCAGCTTCTGATCTGAAAAGTGGGTGCAGCAGAGACAGCCACCTCTCCATCAAGATCCACTCCCCTCCGCTGTTCTATACAATTATAAATGGAAGTGGCTGCCCAAGAGGAGCACTTCATGGCCCCTCTTGCAGCCAAGTAGATGAGGCCCCCCATAGTTTAAGACAGGGGTCAGCACACGTTTTCTGTAAGGGGCCAGACAGTACACATTTTGGGTTTTGTAGGCCATACGGTCTCTGTTGCAACTACTCAACTCAGCGGTTGTAAGAGAAAGCACCACAGACCATACCTAAACAAACGCATGTGGCTGCATTCCAAAAAACTTGACTTACAGAACAGGGAGTGGGCTGGATTTGGTCTGTGTGCCATAGCTGACAAACCCCTGGTTTAAGAGAAGCTCAGCCTACCAAATATAGTCACTAGCCTTCTAGAAAGAGCCATCTGATTAGACATTCTGCCCTGCATGACCTGATATGCCACCAGTTCTTATAATACACACACATGTATATGTATATACATTTTTCTAATTTATAACTGGTCTGCATCCCTGAATTTCTCACATGTCCTTTCACATCAACTCGTGCCCGCCCTTTAACCTCACCTCCATGGGCTATGTCACTCCCCGGTTCCTTCCTCTTCTGCAGGACCAGCTCCATAATGTGCATGGCTCAGTACAAATGAAGGTGCGGGGCCCTTTCCCAACAATTATTAAAAGTTTCAAAAGAGTGAAAGCAGAGCTTAAATCAAACACAGCCCTTCCAGGAGTGGGCTCTGTGCGTCTGCCCAACTTGCGTGTCTGTCCACGCAGCCAGCCCCGCTCGTTTGTATTACCAGCAGCCAGCCCAGAAAGTTTTCTCTCTAACTTTGTGACAAGCCCAGAAACTTGCCACCTGCTGCTGCTTGAAGGGTTGCGGGAACAGTTTTACACATCACAAGAAGAAGGAGAAGAAGAAGAAAAAAAAGAAACCTAATTTTCTTTTAGTATATTACTTGTCAGACAGTGAAACGGGATATAATTATGGTGTGACATTTCTAACAGCAAATATGTTCCACTGTAAGCAATTAACACTGGTTCTTTTGGCAGACTTAAAAAGATTACTCAGAGACTATGGTAAGTTACAATGCCCCATGAATAATAAATAATGTAGAATTGCAGCTAAGTTGCATTCTTGGACCAAAGTTCAAATTTCTTGATGAAAATGGATTGGGTGCTGTTAACCCTCTGCTGACTTCATGTGGCTTAAGCAGATTGGGATTGTGGGTTCTTTGGCTTTATCTAAATTACTTATTTACCTTGCTCCTAAGAGCATCTGCCCCTTCTCCCTAGAAAAATCTGCATGTATTTATTTCAGCTGCTGGAAATCTGCGTAAGGCGGTGGGTTTGGAGGTGACCCTCAAGGATGGACAGACTGGGAAGATGGCTTGTACTGAGACCTATCACCTTTGGCAGTTGTCATGGTTTAATGTCTTGACTGAAGTCCCAAGATCTAGAAGGATGTACATCTGGAAGTATGTCCCCATCTTCTCATCCAATCTTGATATAACCAGAGAGGGCAGCTCCTTCTAACTGTATTTTTGCAGCTTGTGAGCCTCAGCAACCAAAATCAATGAAAATACCAATAGTTAAAAGGTACACATACTACAGGGCGGCATTCAAGACCATGATTATGTGCAAAGGCCTAGGGACAGGGTTTCTCGCCCTTGACACTACTGACATTGGGGGCTGGGTAATTCTCTGTCGGGGTGGGGGCTGCCCTGTGCATTGTAGGATGCTCAGCAGCATCTCTGGACTCTACCCACTAGATGCC